GGCATTTCGTAGAGGGCTTCACAATTCTCTAAATATTATTTCGACTTTATTTGCAAAAAGAGCAATGGCATTTTTTTTTCATAATGTGTCCCTAAGGCGCCTTTGTAGTCCAATAGCTAAAGCTTGGCCCAAATTGGGTCATCTTAAGGTTATTGTTAACAGTGGTTCTATAAGCTTCTGAATCATGGGGTAGGTAAGAATAAAATAGAATTAGTCTAGGAATTTAAAACTAATAATAACTAAAATATTAAGCAACATATATACATATACATGCTGACACTTTATATTTATTTTACGTCTAAAGCACTTTACACAAGAAAAAACAGGTGCAAATCAGAAAATCAAAGTGACGAATGAGCATTACCATAAAGGCAATTTAGGCATGAAGCTGATCACTAAAACCCAGAAAGGCTCTCTGAGAAAATGATGTGTTAACCTCCTGAGACCTGAGCTCCTGTTTGCATGGGAGGCGAGGTGAAATATAAGGCGCAGAAAGGCCTTAATAAATAACATTTACAGAATGTTTTAATCTGAACTATCCAGGGGAGAAAAATACATTTTTAATTTTAACACAATGGTGATCAGTCACACTGAAATCCTTAAAATATAATTAATCTCTGGAGTAAGGCATGTAAGTAATAAACAATAACAGGTTTCTGAGAAAGAGAAACTGAAAATTTAAACAGAAAGGACGCTCAGGTATATAAACAGTGGCACCAAAACGGTTAAAGTGGTTAACCACAAATGGTTCAGCGAGAACTTGGAAGTTCCTGTTTTGGCCTCCACCTCTGAGTTTTTCTTCTCTCTGCACTTGCTTCGTGTTTGTCTGATAGTTCTGCAGAAACAGGAACATCACGAGGACACTGCGGGCCAATAACTGTTCAGATAGACGATAAAGCACATGATAATTTAAATATGTATTTTAGCAATAATAGTACTCAATAGTATTACAAAGCCATTTGTAATAGTATTTCAAATGGCTTTTTATGAGAGCTCCTAAAATCTGACCATTAGAAAAAGCATGTTGAATAATATGGTTATTGGCGCCCTCTGGTGGAGACAAAATGTAATGTATCTAAACACTAATTCTTGTGCTGCCCACACAAACCTTCAGTCAAATCTCTGATCATCAAACAAGCATGTATGTGAGCATTTCTTTTCCTCTTCTTTCATGTGACCATTTTAGGAGTCGCCTCAGTGGAACTTCTCTCACCTTATTCCTAACAGCCTGCTCTGTAATGCCAACCCTCCTCCTTCACTGCATCCATGAATTTCCTCTGTGGTCCTCCTCTTCCCCCCCCCTGCCTGGCAGATCCATCTTCAACATCCTTTGTCTAATAACTGAATTAATCCTCCAAACCTCAATACCTGACCTAAGTACTCATGTCTTTTTTGAGTGAAGCTAAAGACGCAACAAAAAGGTCTGAAAAGGAAGAACATCATTTTTAAATGTAGGATTTTGCTTGATCAGTTGAGTTTCTCTTTAAAATGTTAAATTTCATTATAAAGATGACCTTTAGGATCCAAACGGTGATTTTAAATGAGGAAATCTGTTCCATTTTGAAACCAGTCTCAAAGGATTTTATAGAAGATAAGATAAGATAGAACTTTATTAATCCCTCGGGTGGGTTCCTCTGGGAAATTCGACTTCCAAAAAAAAAAAAAGAAAAGCACAGCAACGACCGAAGTTACAGTTACAGTTACGATAGATAGATAGATAGATAGATAGATAGATAGATAGATAGATAGATAGATAATAATAATAATAATAATACTGTGACGTTTGTTTGTTTGACAGGGAACTGCTTGCAAAACGTCGCCGTGACTGAGATCCCTTTAACAACTTCCAGTGTTCCTGTACAGCTGTGGAGGACAAAGAATGCCACATTTTACTTCCTAAAAACAATAAATAACATACTGAGTACCTTCAGCCTGCATTTCACTTTCCTGGTATACTCATCTGGGCTGTTGAACCAAAATCATGCAACTCCAGTGTCACACTTTTCAGCCTTGTGGCCTTTTTTGCAAGTTGTTATTTTTAGGAGCTCGTGAGTTTGCATGTTTCATGTAAAGTTAGCTTCTCATATTGTAGATTTTAATCAAGCTAATTATAATAATAATGCACTAGATGACAGAAATGGCTATACAGTAATGAAAAAAGTGAATACGGTTTTATGTACCAGACAGATTGAACAAACAGATGAAACTAAAAATGAAACCTAAATGCAGAAGCAGTGTCAAAAGTACACTCAGGATTCAGCAGCAATAGCTTGAAGTAATCATTTTCTGTATTACTTTAACAGTCTCTCACATGGTTGGCCCAGGAACTTTGGCCCACTCTTCTTTACAGCAATGCTTCAGTTCACTGATATTTATGTGTACTGGTTTATGCACAGGTCTCTTTAAGGTCCCACCACAGCATTTCAACCAGGCTGAGGTCTGGACTTTGACTCAGCCGTTGCAGCACCTTGATTCTTTTCTTTTTCCAGACATTTTCTTGTTGGAGCAAGCCTTTATCAGTCGGACACATGGATTTGCTGGGGCATCCACTCCTGGGAAAACTCCAGCATTGTGTTAACACACACCTGAAAGCTCCAGACCAGAAACAGACGAAACATCTGCTTTGATAGAGGTGCCCAGACCTGCTGAGGATCGGTTAACCAAGTGCATTCAATAGGCAGCACCCAGCTGCTACTTACCCTCACGATTCCTGTGGAAGCAGGACTTTCTTTTCTCATTTTGGCTTAGTTTGTGTTAAATAAATAACTATGGGGGAAGCTCATTTGGCGATTTAGATTTCAAACCACCATTTCACAGGCTCTGCAAACTAACACAGGTTTGTTTAATCAACCACCTGATTGGTGCCCAGACTCACACTGGGCAGAGCTGTGAAGGGAATTTTGTGTAAATACAAATAAAAATATACAGAAAAGGATTCTTATTCTAAAGAAATCTTCAAATCTGTTTTAATCAGTGAAAGGTTTTTAATAGCTAAAGTAGTCTTTGTGGCTCCATTCTGAAGAAGCGGCTTTAAGTTGTCTAATTAGTCTTGGCGCTTGAGGTTAAAAAGGGCAATAGATCGCTCGCTGAGTGAATAATGTTCAGTGCAGGAGCAGCTTTAACCCTGCCCACACTAACCGGATTTGGATGGTTAGTGAGAATGGAATTAGCTAATCGAGGAGAACATGTCATCCCAAAGCCTCATCCAATCATCGTCTTATGTTCTGCTTAATGGGATCCAATTGAAGGGTAGCACAATTTGTCTGGGGCCATTTGGGACATGGAGCTTGAGCCAGATGACAGAATTCAAAGAATCCGAGTATTTAACCCCATTTCATGTGGAAAGACGAACACTGGCGCTATACTGGGAGTAGATATGTTCGGAGCCAGCCAGTAGATTTTCTTATGCGGATGATGGTGTCATATTAGCGCTGACGCTGCTTCCATGTTGAGCCTCACAGTAACATCATGTGACCGCATGCTTCTTTCTGGCTGAAACTCTGTGTCAAAGTGGGGCAACTGATAGGTTTTTACAGAGTAACACCATTTTCTGGATGATTCCAGCTTGTGTTGATAAGTGCTTAGTTTCAAAAAGATGTGACCACATAGTGCGTACTAGGACGCACTACTGTCCCAGGTGTTGGGTATGTTACGTTTTGTTTTTTGTTTTTATGTTACATTTTAAGTAAAAAGTGACCAAAGTAATTAATAATTGTGTAACTGTATTACTTACTTTATTATTTACTGTTTGGATTCAGATGTCTCTTTTTAAGTTATTAATGAAAATCTTTGAGTTCAGGAGTATTTTGACAACATAATACCTGTAAAAACAAAAAAAACAAAAACAAAGAGCATGAAAATACATGAACACAGCATCATCATGCATAGGGCTGACCTGCTTGCTGATATCAGCTCATTGGTGATAGGAAGTCACCAACCACTTCCTCCTAATGTGGGAGTCAACCAACAGGGCCACTCCTGTACGTCATGATCATTGCCATCTAAAAGGAAGCGTGTGGCATACAGCACATGTGGCAAAGCAACTTCTTTCTCTGCTATGCTGTGCATGTAAAATTTATCAGTCTGGAGAATCTCATGTTAAAGATGGTATGTGAGCAGCATGCATGAAGCTCATGCTGTGAAAATAGAAAAGTGGCCTTGACCTTGAGCACAACTTGGGTACGGAAACATAATCGGGGGGCACATGCAGCCCGCTTTGATGTAAAATGGGTCGGACAAGTGAAGGTCCACCTGTTTAATTTTGTGCATGTAAATGTGTAACATTAAGAAAACAGTTCTGATAGCTCACTTTTATTAGTAACTAAACTTTCTGTAGTAGACGAAAAATGTATCCATTATGAAACTCCTGTGGTGTAGCATGGATGGCTGCGGGGGAGGTCTTTAACAGCAGAAAAAGCTGTAAGACTAAAAAAATTACACTTAAAAGTGCAAAGATTTATGGCCTCTTTCACCCTTTCATATGTTCCGAAGCCAAAGCCTATGCCGGGACAATTCTGGCCCCCAGACCTGATGTTTGACACCTTGCTCAAGGAGGAGCAGTGATTCTTTGTGACTTGTGACAGGACAGACAAACAGATGAATGGACACCTCGCAGTGTTATGGGTTCATCAGACAAGTTAAAAACGATCGATAATAGCTTGCAGTATTTAAATTTCATAATAAAGTTTAGTTTTGCTCACTAACAAAACATGTTTTATTAGTGTTGAAACCACATCGACCTGCTGAATATTTACACGTTGCGCTGTCCTGCACGGTGCTGGACGGGATTCTTTTAACAATAGAAATGGCTGGAGGTGCTGCAATTATTTGCACGCCAGATTTCCATTGTTTCTCTTTGTGAAATCCCTTCTGCTGCCACACAAGCTGTCTTTCCCTAAACTCAATCACAAAGATTTATATGGCTGATGGGATTAGTTTAAGCCATTAGGAGTAGTTAATGGTCTTTCCCGGTGTTGGTAAGTAACACTGACTAATTGACCAGGGCCAGCAGACAGCTGACACCGGTTCACAGCAACAAGTGGTTCCTGCTGACATGAAGTTAGGACCTGCAGAGGGACAACAAACAGGGTTCACGCTCCTGAATGCTCGGCTGAATTGATCTGGATTTTTTCCCCCACCATTTAGCTGAAATTTAAAAGGACTTGGTGCTCACAGGTAAGACTCATAAATGTATAAAACATACATGACTTTGGAAGGGAAAATGTCAAATATTAAATTGTGAGAGGGACCCCTGCTGTAAGACGGGGACAATTTAAATATTTTGAGAAGTATATGTAAATATACTTCTCAAACATAAAATTACATCTATTTTCCCCATGTTATGTTAATTATGTGATGATTCAGGTGATTAAATCAAATTAACTTGTGTTACAGTTGCTCTGGGACTGCAAGTGATAGCTGTTTTTCCATTTTTGTTCTGCTTTTTGACCAATAAACTGCCTGAAAACAGTAAAATGTTTCTTAGAAGTTTAGTTGATGATCATATAAAACGATGAAATATTAACATTAGATGAGGTGAATAAAACATTTCTCAGAAACGACCTTAACTGTTCAGCTGTCGTTTGTGCCAGTTTGTTTTACTAATGACATGTTAAAAAATAAAGGATGCAAATTAATAACCTTTTTTTTTCTGAGCATGAAAAAAAAGAGCACATGTCATGTCAGAGGCGAGCCCCGGTGCTATCTGTGCCCTCCGATGACACAGCAAGATGTTTCCAAAGCCTTATTCACTCTGTTTGCTGTTCGCCTAACAAACAGCTCCTTTATGAGATTAAAGGATTTCTGTGGCACGCTGACATGCACGAAATTTAGAGAACATAGGAGGTGTAGCCTCTCGCTAATCTTGTCTTTATGAGAAAGGAGGGATCAGGCTATTGGATTGCTGCAGCGAAGACAGGTTGTCGGAAAGGAGTACACCCGACTTTTTTTTATAGTTTTTAAATGTTTGTAGTCCCAGTGAGCAAAACTACAGAGCCCACTGTGCACTGCAAGCACAGAGACCAATACAGTTGTCTGCCACTGCGTTAATACTGTGTACAGGTTAATTACCTGTTGATATGAATGAAATAGGTGAGGACTGTCTTATGATCAGGTTATTTTCTGCTTCTTTCCTATGTGTCCCACATTTACAATAAATCACTAGAGATTAATTTTCTCTAATATTATATTCATCACTTTGCCTCCCATTCGCTAACAGCATTACTAATCATGTGTCCTTGAAACGGATGGATTTTAAATGAATTAAATGGATTGGCACACAAACTGCCTCAATTGGATTACCATCTGTGATGCAAGCTAACAAGATACAGTCATTTGCATGTGATTTGAAAAGCAAATTGCCTAAAAGGTTTACTCAATACTGTACAATATGTTTTAGAAAACATTCTTAATGGTTGGTGACCTTAAATCAAAAACCACAATGAACTGGAGATCAGGGAGCTCCGCAGTATCCAAAACTTCCCAGGAAAATCATCCTGTTTGAAAGTTCTCTGCAGTTTCAATATAAGAGACGGTGAAACGATTTAAATGGGATTTTCTGATACTCTAAATGAAGCCAATTTACCAACATGTAAACAGATTTAGGGCAAGAAAACAAGGCTTATGTTGTGGTTAACTAACTTACCCTATAGTGTGAGACTTTAAAATCTCCTGCTCTACTGCATGCGATCTGCCATCTTAGCTCAGAAACTAAAACTGTCAATTGTTTCTGTCTCATCAGTCTGCTTCCTGCGACCACAGCCTGCTCCGTCAACTTCTCCACATGCATCAGAACATCCCCCGGCATGCCTTCACTCCCGTCCTGCAGCAGTCCTCGAGCATCCTGCCAAATCCAGCATTGATGGGACCTCAGGACAGAAATGTGAGATGTGATTACTTTAACTATCCTCATGTGAAGCTGCTCAGACTTGGAAGTTATTCCAGGCCCCTCGCCTGCTTTTACCTACTCCTCACTGATATCCATCTTTTACATCTTGCTACAGTTTAACACAAACCTGCCCGGACAAACAATGAGGACTTTCTTTGCACCCATCACAGCCTCGCACAGAGCAACAACTAGATCCTCTAACTCAACAGTGAGTAAAAAACTCAAGAATCTCAGTAACTAAAATATATAAAATGTTACTTCGCTTTCCTTTTAAATTGATGAAATTGTTTTCATTAAAATGAATGATTTCTTTTCCAGATACGAGGGAGATGGGGCGCACTGCACGTGTGTATTGCGTGGAAAATTTACCACCACAAACAACTCAAGGTGAGCGCTAAATAAATTTAATTGTTATTTTTTTATTGGGATTTGTGGTAGTTTTGAACGTCTCTACGTGTTTTGGGAGTTACGTGTGGAAGCATTGGTGATCCCATGCAGACTGTAGGCTCTGGTTCCTGCTCTCAGCTGACAGAAGTGGCACCCTGCGGTCTTCTGCCAGTCGCTCTGCTGTCGCCCATCTACTTTACGATTGGATTTGTTGTGTATTCAGAGATGCTCTTCAGCACCTCCTCATACTCTTATTTTGAGTGTAATTCATTTCCTAAGAGATAAACTACCTGAGCTTTATTGTTTTTCAGCTCAGAGGTATGTCACAATAATGCTGTTATTGTGAATTGTATTGCTCACAGTATTGTGAAAAGTTCGCAGAGGGATAATATTAATGGATCATACTGATCTTGAATTGCACAGCTGATTTGTCTGATAACCAACATGTAATATTTAATTTACCAGAAATTGCAACAAATGCACAGCAGTCAACAGGAGCTGACACCTGAGTGTCCTGCTAGCAGTCCCTCTGCCTCTGTGCAACAAAAGGAACTACACCAGCCGTGTGCACACCCATGTTCAGGTGAGTTTCACGCCAGCAATGATTAAGTAGAAATGTAGCACTGATCCTTTTCTTGGACTTAGACTCTTCATCTGAATTCTCTTCAGGTGGAAGTAAGAGTGAAACTACAAGCTGTGACTGTTCTGTCTCTGACCTTCAAACGCCTCCACCAGTGTCTACCCACAGCCGTGGGTACAGGGAGAAACTTGACTGTGAGAAGCAGGACCAGCACTCAACACCTGATAAGAAAGAGAAACACCAGATCCACCAATCTAGCCCAACAAAGAATTTACCTCATAAAGAGAAGTTCAGGGAATTAATAGTCACTTCTGACCTTGATGGCAGACACAGCGGATCGCTCGACAGGAAGAGGCAGTTTGAGTGTGAAGGCATCAACAAAGCAAAGAGAATGAGGCACGAAATGTCCAACAGTCCGTTTGGTTCTTCTCAGACGTTGCAGTATTATCCATCTCCATTCATGACAACTTATACACATCCACCAGCACACAACATGCAAGTGCAACACACTAACATGAGTGATTGCTCTTTCCTGTATCCTAACAGCATTAGATTTAACGCGTCTTATCCAGACACCAAGACGCATCCCTGCCAGACTTCTTCATGGGAGACAATGAGGGACACACACAGTTTCCATTTTAGGAAACACACCCTTAAAGACTACTCACTGAATACCTGCAAGGCAATCAGGAAACCTCTTGTAGCAAGAGGTATCACGTCACCTCTTTATTTCCTTCGAGTGAGGGAGACACTTCTGTCGAGAGAAGTGTCAACACCGCTGCAGACGCCAGCGGCCTCATACTGGCTCTGATGCAGTATTGGGACCCTGAGTCTCCAGAGTAGGCTCAGAAAGGGAGAGCTCACATTCTCAAATTTCATCTCTCACTTCAGTTTTATTTATACCGAGCCAAATAAAAACAGTCACCTCAAGGCACTAGGAATCTCTGAGTAATCAGCCAGAGTGGGAGAAAGCACCTCTGACAGAACCAGGTTCATCGAGGGCAAGCATGTCCTGGAACTGGGTGAAGTGAAGGAAAAATTAAGGATGATGGAAAAAACAGCAACATTTCAAACTCTTAAAGACATAAAACAATGGCTTATAAATGCATGTTGAATGTTTTCAAGGAAGGTCTCCCAGCAGTCTGAGCCATTTGCTTCATAGCTGAAGGGTTGATCCAGCTCTGAATGTAAGCTTAACCTAAAAGCTAAGTTTAATCCAATCTTAAAAGCAGACTGGGTTCCCTAACTCAAGCTGGGAGCTGGTAACAGAGATCATTAGGACATGATGGGTACTATGAGGTATTTAAAAATATATATTTACAGCGCCTGTCTTGTGTTCACTGGTCATTTAGGTTTCTGTGGTACTCCACAGTGAGCAGCACTGATTATTTACACCTTAAAGTGTAAGCAGATTCATGTTCATGTGCTTACTTTTTTTAAGTTGGGCTCAGGTTGGCCTCTAAAAAAAAACCTGGTAAATGAAAAACTGCCGATTTATGGAGTTTATGGAGATTCTGTCTGTAAGACTGTATTTTGCACATAAGCTTTGAGCTAAATGCTAAAAGTGAGGATGTATGAATAGATGTGGATTAACCCTCATTAGCATCCCTAAAACCACAAAGAGACACAAAAACATGGCACGATCTTTTCTTGTTTCAAAAATGTATTTAACTGTGTAACAATAAAATTCAACAAAGGTCACAACAAAAAATAAAGTCTTCGGAATTCAGTGCCTGGAGAACATTTCATGGAACAAGCTTTCTAGTGCTTTTAACTCTTCCCTCATTCATAAAAACTTTAACAGAAATTTTTATTAATTGCATAAAGCCTACACTGGGTGTGGGTCATCTGACCCAGTGCACAGTGAACACTTAAACCACATCCATGCCGAGGCCCCTCGCAACCTCCGTCAGAGCCTGGACTGCTCCGGAAGCCCCAAAACCATCACAGTCCTCCTGCATCAGTCCTGCAGACTCGTCCTCAATGTGAGGAATGGTGCTCATCACACAGTAGACAGGAGAGTCGCTGCCTCTGGGGCTGGCTTGAGATGACATGTCCTCACCTCCTGAGAACTCTGAGGAGTAGGAGGAGCTGGAGGAGGGCGAGGAGGATCCTGTGGGAGAGCTTCGGCCGCTCTCCAGCGTGACAACAGCGCTCTCGTCCTGACTGCTGCCACTCAGACTTTTCTGAAGGCTCTGAGGCTTCTTGGCCATGTTCTTCATGATCTCCTTTGTCACTTCAACAGTCTCAAAGCGCACCATATTTAACTTCAGGAAACCATCGACATCCTTCCTGTACCTGTATGACAGGAGAGGAGAGGAATCCATTTGAGTTTTTACTTTTTTTCAGCTCTACTTAAATTATATTCGTCGCACCCAGAGGACTGTAAAGCAGAGAGGATGACTATTACCACAGGTGACTCACCTAAAGCGGGAATGTCCAGAGGGCCACTTCAGCTCATGCTTCTTACGAAGGTGAAGTGTAAGAGTGTAACACCAAGAGAACACCTTATCACAGATATGGCATTTATATTTAGCCATTCCCCCAACCTATTGGTCATCAACAAAAAACCATATCTACAGTCACAGCAGGCTGAGATGATCTGACCAGGTAATATGTTGGACGACACTGTGTTACAAACCTCATGGACTCTCTTGAAGTGCTGGCTCATTGTTTGGAACGTATGACAAGTATAATCACAGCCCTCCACTGTACAGCTGTACATGGTGCCCTCATTGTGAACCTCTGTGTGCTTCTGCAGATCGCGCTGGTTCTTAAATCTGTGGGGAAATAAAGATGGAAACAGTTAAAATTACTGGCGACTGTAGCTTTTACCCCTCAGCCTCCCTGTAGATGCACCTCTGGTATAAATGTAAAAATCCAAAGTGATTTTCAGAATAGTTGACCTCACTGAGATTCCAACCTGAGGGAGATTTGGTGTCAATTTCAAATACTTGGTGACATCTTTTTCGAGTTATCGCATTTGCAAGATCTTTAGAAACCTTGAGGACCAAGTCACTGAGTTTCAAAGTCATCTGAGACTTTTTGTAGAATCACTTATGGTATGAATTTAAAAATCCTGTCGCCTCCTTTTTTGTATTCACAAATTTGAATGTCCAAGCCGCCTGCACAGCAGGGTTACGACAGCACCCCATCAGCCTTTCAAGGCTGAGGGGTAAAAACTGATTTTGGTAATAAAGATGTGGCTCTAGCAGCATTCTCACTCACATGTCACATGTTTGAGCCTCTTACTTCTTACTTACTTATAGTTGTTTACATTTTCAATACAGATGAGTCAAAAATTGCACTGCTACTTAAAAAGTCCCATATTATGGCCCGTTTCTACCCTCATGTGTTCTATTAATATCTTTTTCAAGTTTCAGCTAAAAAATACCTCACAGGTCACTAATTCTTCCCCACCTTTATACCCCTGCTTTTAACTCATCTCCTAACAGGGCGTATCTGGGGGCTTTAAAAGCAAACGAGCTGCTGTGCGACTGAGCTCCAGCCAGGAACAGTCACAGCACACAGCTCTACTGAGTATATAAAAGAAATAAAATTACACACTGCAGAGTTTTTCCTGGCTCGAAATGGGCTGTTCTGAGGGATGAATATGCACATAAGCAGGACTGGTCAGCATAGGCAGTAAAGTCTGTGTTACTGAACAGAAGTGCCTGCATTTTCCTGTTCTTTGTGGTTACTTCATACATAAAAATGTCTATTGTGCTTGAGTAAACAACACCCCAAATGAAACAGAAACAGTTACAAACATCTGTATGTCAATCCTGCTGGTTCTCCTTTGGGGGAGGGTCAGTTGGAGACGATGATTAGGCTGTTCTGACATCACAGGAGGCTGCAAACCAATATATCTCATACAGAGACATAAATGATTGAAAGACAATAAAACAAGGAACTGGTTTCTTTTTTCACATTTTGTGGCTCTTTCTTTAAAAACCCCTTTAAACACAATATTTTAACGAACCTTTCCTAATAGTTTGGTTAAGGTCTTATTAGGAGAATTCCTTAAAGGGTATACAATATTTTTAAGGCACGACTAAAGACTGGTTACATTTGAAGCAGATATTAAAGGGAGTATTTTGACTAAAAACATATAATAAAAAGATCTAAAGAGCAGATATTATCCTGAGCTCATTTCCAGCTCCCATTTTTGTTCTTTGACTCTATACTAGAGTAGCTTTGCATAAATCACAGTTAAGAATAATCCCTGTTTGTTATATACCAGGCCCATGGTGCACCCACTTTGTTCTTCCTCAGTCTGAAAGACCTTTTTTAGCGAATCCTGTATTCACAAACAGAGCTGTGTACCTGAGAGCACCATGTTAAGGATACTGACAAGCTAAGAGCAGAAAACTGTGAGAAATCAAGCATTTAAAGTCACATGAGTTTTTGCCTCACAGGGATTACTTACACATACACAAACTGAAGGAAATAATGAGTGAGCTGGAATGAAAACTTCCTTGTGACTTTGGATGTGAAAAATGCTACATGGTTCCTCACAAATACACGATTTAAGACGTTAATGATAAAAAAAATTTATGGAAGAGAATTTTACTGAAATAGCTGAAACTTGATAACCCAGCTTTCGCTGCCAGATTAAAGAAAACGATGGAGTTAAGAGTGTGTTTGCTGTTAACTGAACACTTGATGAGCTGTGTGATCTACCTTTTGTCACAGAAGTCGCATGGGAACGGACGCTCATCACAATGGCGGAACCTGATGTGGATCTTCAGAGCAGCCAAAGTGGTGCAGGTCATGTCACAAAAGGGACACTTCACCTGATTCACTGAGAGTAAAAAGAAAAAAAAGGCGGGCAATGCATGTAACAGATGATCAAACTGAGTCAGAGATCCACCATGGATCTATTAACGTTTAATAACTAACAGATCACAAAGAAACTGAAATAGATCAGATTTTGTACACCTGACCAACCAAATGACATAACTCAGTACAAAATAAGAGCTCAATGAATACAAATCTAAAGACCACACAGTAGGGAGCTTGACAACAGAAACAAAAGAAAATCTGTAGCAATGTGCGATAAACTGCTCATAAACCGCTCTCTCCATTTCTAATATTTCAAGACAAACAGCCATAAAAACAATTTAATCCCAAAAGAAAATTTAGGAATAAAACTCACCATGCTGACGAACATGATCCCGCAAAAGCCTCTCGCTGGAAAAAGCTTTCCCACAGTGTTCACAAACCAGCGTCTCTGTTAGGATAAGTACACATACAAACATCAGCAATAAGGCAGCGCAATTAAAACATCAACATCACAGAAATTTAATGCGAGCTTAAGCGTCCGTCTCACCTACTGGCTCAGCTTGCCTGTGCAGGTGGTCAAACAGCTTTGTGTTGCTGGAGAACATGCTGCCACACGTAGGACAGGCGACAAGGCGCTCCTGAGTATGGCTCCGCATATGTTCCCTCAAACGGTATCTGATCTTGAAAAAGGCGTCGCAGCCTGTGAACAAAACGGGAAATGTCACACGGTGTCCAAGGAGATAGCGTCTCACGAACGTTTAAAAAACTCCCGGTCGTACCTGCCCACTGGCAGAAGAGCGCCTGCTGTTGTTGAGGCAGAGACTGTGGTTCAGCACTTTCTATGTGGTTGTCCACATGTCGATAGAACCACTCAGGATTATTAAATGTACACTTTAAAAAAGAAAACAAGGAAAAAATAAATAAATCCCATGATAATATATCAATCGTTTAGTGAAGACTGGATAACTTAAATGAAAAATACGTACATCACATTGCTCCCACTGGCAAACATATCCGTCTGATCCTTCAGGGACCAGATTGTTGCTGTGCATGCCTTGATTGCAGCTGGGAAGATCTGGACGGGACTTGAGCAGCTGTGACCCAATGAACTTGAGCTTCCCATGGTAGTTGTGGAAATAAGCATGGACCTCCAGCTCTGCAGGGCTACCCATGGAGAGAAATTCACATCCATTCCAGAGACAAGCATATTCATCTAACGAAAAAAAAGAAAGAAAGAAAGAAAGAAAGAAAGAAAGAAAGAGAATCAGTAATTATTGCAATGTCATTACAGAATGTTTAAAGCAACTTTAAAAACTTTAAAGCACCCACATGTCCAATAACATGAAAACCAGATTAACCGTGATCAGCATGAGGTTGAGAAGTATCCCATCGTATAGTCTGGTGTTGAGCAGAGACAGTTGCTGTCACAAAATAAAAATAAAACCATGTACCGGCAAAATCTGACTGTAGCTACAAAAGCAGTTTTACTTGTGACTCAAATGAAGCAGGGGGCTTTTTAGTGCACTCTGCAGCACTGCCATTCGTAGCATTTGTAATATAAGCAGGTTATGGTTAGATGATGCAGAGATGACTGGTAGGGGTGAGTGATTAAAATAAGCATTTACCAGTAAAATAGTACAGACATCACAAAAAATTCTAATAATCACAATTAGTTTAATCCATAAACTTGCCCCTTTCATGATTTTTCTTTTTTTTTTTTGCATATTTGTTTCAGATCATCAAACTAATTTTAATATTAGCTAAAGACAATCTAATATCTACAAAGGCAGTATTACTGAATCACCAAAATTACTCTAAGAGCGCCTCAGCGACTCATCCAAGAGGTCACAAAAGAACCCAAAACAAGAAAATGTGCCACAGCCTGGCCGATGGAGGGACAAAAGTATAAGAGAGGATGAGCTGAAAGGAAAAACAAGAGAAATGCTGCAAAACAGAAAACAGCACAATGATATTTTTTTATCTCTGTAATCTTGTCCATATAAATCACTGTAAGCCAAAATTTATTTTAAATGACAATAAAATCCAATCCCTTGCACTGATCTACACACAACCACAATGAGAGTTCAGTAACAGAAGCACCTCTTTGTAATATTCAACAGGCATATTTAAACTGGACAACACTTGGACCAAACACTGTCCATTAAACCCCATGCTAATAAACTAAATGTGCTGCCCAACAAAAGCTGACCCCTCGCCCACCCCTGCACGCAAAATCGCTTACCCAGCTCCTCCAGGGCATCGTTGTCCCCCAGGTAGTCCTTCAAATGCAGACACATGTGGTCGCTGAGCTCCTCCATGGAGCGGCCCGTGAAACTGCACGAACCCCACTCACAGACCACCTCAAAGTTCCCGAGTCTCTTTGTTGTCATCATGTCGTTGAGTCCTGTGAGCTCAGCCCCTCACACCCTAACCAGCCACACAGAAAGTAGGCACATATGTTTAACCCAGAGAGAAAAGGAAACGTTAAACTACGACATCTAAACTACTAAAGACGCCGTTTTGCTAGTTAGCATGTGCTAACGAGGACTGATGGTGTCATGGAAACTGAAACATGTCTGTAAATGTTTGAAGAGTCATTAGCTGAAGTTAGCGCCAAAGCTCTCACTATCTGACTGAATGAGTAACTAAAACCACATCAAAACATATATTTTTAAAATATATATTTTTGGTCATAACAGTTAATGAGGCTGTTCACACCTAACAACAGTTTACTTCATCCTTAAGAAGTTGTGTTTGTGCAGATGATGTTTATCTGGCTAACAGATTAGCTCCCGCGAAACCTGTCACAGGTCTGTGCTCTTTATCCGACTTTTCCTAAATTAATACAGCTTGTACATTTTAACCCGGGATTGTATAAATTCATACTGTTGTTTCTAACTCTAGTGATACACAAGTTTTTCATAAATGTTTCTTACAGCAGTTAATATCACTTTGTGCAGCAGATCTGAGCTCCTCCTTGCGCTTCCCTCCTCTCAGCTTGTTTGGCTTTGTTTATTTCCTGTCGCTTCTTCTTCGTTTATTATTAAAACTGTGCCGGGAAAGCTGAGCATATCGCCACCTACTGCACTGGAAACCGCAGCAAACTAAAGCCTGAAGTAAATAGCGTTTTGTTTTTATACACTTCTTATTATTATTATCCCCTCTTCTGCTTCTTCTTTTTCTTCTTCTTCTTTCAGCTTCTCTCTTTAGACGGTCCCACAATGGATTATCTACATCTATCTCTCTATCCTTCTATCACAAATCACCCCTGAAGCTCATCTACACCCACTCCACCCTGTCTGCACTCTCTTCTTCTCTGGATGACTGATTCCAGGTATTTAAACTCATCCAGCTCGAATTTTATGGCATTATTTTTGTGCCACGCCATAAAATTTCAATTTGAAATAAATACATAAACTCAAAGAAAGGTGAAAGAAAAGAAAAATAGTTTCTTAATTTCTTAAAATAAATCCTCACATTTATGAGAAAAATGTATTTTGTAGTGAAGGAACAAGTCAACCCTTCCCTTTGTATCCTAAAATTAACTTTAAAAAGGTCCAATTCTAGACCTCCTTAAATGCTGTGATGATATCATGATTTTGGGCTACAATTAATATTTCTTTATTGTATCAGACTAAATATATAAATATAATTTAATGTGGTTATTTACTGCAGGGATAATACACACTCCACACACACACAAATATACATTATTTTAATTTGTTCTTATCTTGTATTTACATTTTAATATCCATAAAACATAAAATAACAAGCTCCTCGGAATGAATATGGAGTAGTATGGTTTAGTTACGGAGTTTCATTTAAGTAAAAATACTAATAAAATACTTCAGTACCTGCCCTGAGTTCACTTAAAGTACTATTTAGGAAAGTATAAAAAAAGAGCATAAAATAGTCACAAACATAAAATATTTTATATCATAAGATTATTCATATGCGGTTTAAATTCAGCCAGTTTAGTTTAGTTTAGATGTTGTAATCAACTTTTTAGAAAAACTATATATACATTTCTATATTAATTGATCAGCTCAGTTATGATTTTATAGTAAAAGAATCTCAACCCTGTGTTTAAGTAGCACCACTGATAACCTCGGAAAGCCTTCTGTCTTCTTTGTTCCTTCTTTGGCAGTGCAGTTAAACCACAGCTCTTATGTCTGTTTTTATCTGTAAACGCCAGACCAAACTCCTCCCAGGAAGTGACAACAACTTCTCCTCCACCCTGTCAGCATTTCCTCCAGACACAGAGTGTGAACAAAGAAACAGACCTGTACAATAAGGACTGCCGTGATCAAGCTATTTCACGTGCAGTGGACGGATTAAATGATAGCAGTAATTTTCACTGTTAAATAGTCCTCTCTTGTATAAATTCAGAAATGTTTCCTGTCAGTCTGAAAATCATCCATGCATGCAACTTTATTCTTTATTTTATTCACTTTATTTATCTGGAATGATTTTGATCTTTGACCAAAATCTCTGCATTTTTTCTAGTGTGGTTGATAATTATGACCCAGGCTTAATTATTCCCCTTCTGTTGTGCTGTACTATACTGCATCCTTACACTGGGAAGGTTTCACATGTTGTTAATAGACAGAAAAGAGATGATTTACACCTGAAGGAACTGGATATCCCTACCAGCCTGAGAAAGCCCTTAATGCCAACAGAAACAGGAAGCCACTGTAAGCAGAAGGAAACCTGAGATCAGCCTGCAGCCACCTTTCAATCAAGGCTCACAAGGTTCACTGTCAGATTGTGCCATAGATCCCCTCCACTAGAGGTCATGATTTGCTGACCGTCAGTCCTTTGTCTGTCAAAGAAATACAATATTTTCACAAGAGTGCGTGTCTCCTAAAGTGAAGTCAGTGCTACACTAATAAAGTTGCTCAGTGTTGCACAAAATGCAGGTATTCATAACAGCAGCCTTATACTGTGGTGCGCATTCAAGGTGATTCATTCCTCTGTGTTCTCAAAAATGAGCTGCTATAAAACGAATAAAGTGGGAAATCATCGGCAGTCTCTTCTGTGCTGTGAATATTTAATACAAATATTGTACATGCCATTTCCCCCACACATGCATTCAAGCCTAAACCCTTTTTACTGTCACAGCTCCTGTTTTGTTTGTGACGGTCACTGAAGTTTATTGTTTCCACCATAATGAACTTCAAAAATATACAATACAATATAATAAGAATATATAATATAATAAGAACTCTTACTTGCACCAACAGTACAATATAGGGAGGGACCATGACCAGCCACAAATGTGTTTTAGGGCAGGGGGGGTGGGCAGAGCCTAGGCAGCTCCAGCGCCATTGCTGATCTCTTATTCAATATTTCATGCTGCTCTGCAAACACGAGGGCCCATAACGACTGAATTATTGATGCAGATTTATGTCAGGATGACTGATTCACAGGAAAATGACCACCAGACACCAAAAAGGATGATAAAGGGATAAATGAATGTTTCTTTCCAGTCTTACATCTGCCCTTTCATGATTTTATTAACAGTGAGTGTTTTGTTTTCAGATGAGAGCACTTTGGCTAGCTTGTTTAAACTGAACTGAACGATGCTCGCATAAAATATATTTATGCAACCTTTAAATGGCTCTCAATTTTACCAGAGTTTGGAGGAGGGAACATCTGCAGAGCACAAACTGTAAGGTCAACAGAAAACCACAAAATCCAGACTTGAAGGAGAATGTCTCAGATTTCTCTTCTGGAGAAATGCAAACCAGCAACACTGAAGTTAAATAGCAATTCAGTACTCTTGCTTAATTATTTAGTTCGAGCCTTGGCACAGATACCCTAAGTTTTCAGTTGACTTGGCTTTCTTTGGAAATTCTTCAAGATACAAGTATCTCTTGATGTACAAAATAATATTTTAGGAGGTTAGATGTAAGTTGTAGAAAGATATTTCAAAGAAAACATGAGTAACCACACAGATTTATCATCATTTCATTTCTTCTGGACTTCCCCTCCTTGCATTTTTATGTCAGTCTACACTGGCCACTTTATAAGGTACAGAAAGCTAGTGCTAACCCCTTTTGCCTTCAGAGTTGTCCTTATTCTCGGCATAGATTCAATAAGGAGCTGGAAAAAAGGATATTTGATACGAAAGCATCACAGAGTTGCTGCAGATTAGTCGACTGCACATGTGTGATGTTGATCTCCTGTTCCACCAGATCCCAAAGGTGCTTTATTGGATTGAGATCTGGTGAGTGTGGAAGCCAGTTGAATACAGTGAACCCCATGTTCAAGAAACCAGTTTACGATGATTTAAGGTATGTGACATGCCGCATTATCCTGCAGGAAGCAACCATCAGAAGATGGGTACACTGTGGTCATAAAGGGATGGACTTGGTCAGCAACATTAATTGGGTTGGCTTTGGTGCTTAAATAATGCTCATTTGGTTACCAATGGGAAACAAAATGTGCCAAGAAAATATCCCCCTTACCATTACACCACCAGCAGCCTGAACTGTTGATACAAGGAAGGATGGATCCATGATTTCATGTTGTTTGTACCCAATTCTTAGCCTAACTCACCAGACATGGACACGTGTTACCAGTGTTTTATGGTTTAATTTCTGAACTGTAGCTTCAGTTTCATGACAGGAGTCGTGTTATCTTCTGCTGCTGTAGCCCATCTGCTTCAAGGTTTGACATGTTGTGCATATTCAGAGATCCTCTTCTACATACCTTGATTGCAATAAGTCTTTTTGAGCTGTTGCCTTCCTTCCTTTTCTCTGACCTCTGGATATTTGTGATAATGAGCAGCTGAACAGGTGTACCTAACAAAGTGGACAGTGACTGTATATGAAATTTACTTAACAGGATAAGCTGTTGCATTTTAATAAACACTAAAGTCCAAATAAATTCAACAAGTCACAATGCAGGATTCTGCATCACTTTAATCAGTTCATCCAAAGCAAGCTGAGAATACAAGTACAATATCACAACAGCAGTATGACATACGCATGTCATATCATCACTTCACTCTGGTCTGACGCCACGCGCAGTCCAAACCAGACAGCATATAAGATGAGAGATATAGCACCAGAGTGTCGGAGTGCATAGCAGCACTTGTAGTGGTTGGGTCAGACTTGATGCTTAGCAGGCAGCAGGCTGAAGAGGTCAAACACACACACGCACGCACAAAAAAACTTTCACTCAGTTATCACTCATGCACTCACACACACAGAAGCTAAAACTGGAAGCAGACCCACGGTGGCTAGTGCTAGACTGGGCCCTCACACACTGCGGCCGTGTCGGCCACTGAGGGTATCACGGTATACGTCTGTGTTTACAACCAGAGAGGGAAGGCTGGGCTGTGATGACTTTTTGAGGTCATGTCACGAAGAACTCATGCGAGTTTTAGATTTTCAGACAGCAGCAGTTTAAAGAGTCCTGGCCCATTCCTTGTCCTTCAACACATCAGTGCATTCAGTGTGAAAAATGTTGAGCAAATCTAACTAGTTCTCTCTCTTTTTTTAGGCCTATTTGTCTTTTCTTTTCTTTTTTTTAAATTATTTAGCACAACTACAGCGTCACAGCTCAGAGGGGAGGGTGGAGTACAATGCCACAAAGTACTGAGTCATCGTGAAAATTATGGTTTTCTTATTAAATCAAGGGAGTGGATCTCCATTTAGATTGCTTGTGGGTGAAACCATATTGCTGGTGTGTTTATTTTACAGCTTTAATAGCCACTAGACTATGATTTTACTCACCGTATGTACCTTTTTGGTGTGATCAGAATCTATTTCTACTCATGCATTATGTTTGAGAAGGATTTAACCCTATACATTTATCTTTGAAAGCTCAATTTACAAGCTAGGATGTGACTGTGACAGACAGTCAGCTAATGAACCGAAAACAGGGTCTTGCATGCAAGCTGTAGTAATTATATTACAGTTCACTTTCTATCTCAGCAGATATCATCCAGAACAATGAAATGAAAACCAGGACCATACAGCGGAGGCACTGTAATTCACTGTGAAACAGATTATTCACTTTTCACAAAAATCCCTTCATGTGATACAGAAAAACAAAAAAAGCCTCTCTTTGACCTTTTTCTTTTTGTTTACAATCATTTTAACACTGAATTCATCATCC